GCAGCCATGGACTACAAGAGATCCCAGATCCTAGGCAAGCCATGGTGCTCCTTACCCAGAGCGTAAGAAAGTGGAACGGATAGTTCAAAAAAGAGAGGGGAGGGTCAGGGCTGCTCCCACCCCAGTTTCTTTTCTCCCTCCCCGTCACCCGGCCTAGGGGGTTTGTGGCCGTGGGGGTTGCAGGTGACCAGGACAAGTTACCCCAATCCCGGCAGACGCCACGCGGGGCAGGTCGCTGCCCTCGGAGCAGGGGACGTTGAGCGGAGCAGCGCGGGGAGCAGGCGAGGCGGCTCCGCGGGGGCTGAACCTGCGGCTCTGCAGGCAGAGGCACCGGGACGAGCGGGGCAGGAGCAGAGCCAGCAGCACTGGGATGAGGGCAGCTCCGCGGGCAGCCCCGCGCTCGGGGCGCTCAGTCCAAGCTGTGCGCCGCGCTGCTCCATCCGCACCCAAATGGAGACACGGAACCGTGTCCAGGTGTGACCTGTGCTCCCAAACCAGGGCCTGGGACCTTCCCCTGGCGCCGCGGTCCCGGAGCAGCCCCAGAGTCTCCCGTGGAGCCGTGCGGGGAGCATCAGAGCTTCGACTCGCTCAGGACGATGTTTGCAGTCACAAACACGAAGCAGGAGAAGCCCCAGATGAGCACAAACACAATCCAGAAGGTGTGCCGGAACGGGGACAGGTGCTTGTTCACAGTCCCGCTGCCGAACACCAGCTGAGTGTCCTTGCGGCTACAGTACGCCAGGAAAGCGGGAATGAGGTACTGGATCCCGTTCCCAGCGTAGGCCCCCGTGATCCCCACCAAGGACTCCAGATCGTGCGTGCAGAAAGCCACCAGCACGGGGGGAACCAACGTGATGGCAGGAAAGACAATCCTGTCCACCACCCAGGGGTACGTCCCCCCTTCCCTGTGGAAAAGGGTCTTCCAGTTGTTGCGCAGGGTCACGGCGATGATGGGGAAGTTGGTGCTGATGGTGAAGACCGGGAAGAGGCCCAAGAAGTAGCGAACGAAGGCGACGTTGATGATCTGACAGTTGGTGAAGTTGAGCGTGTACATGTCCATGAGGGTGTCGTTGCGGAAGCAGTAAATGGCGGTGAAGGACAGCAGGCTGTAGAAGGCCAGGATGAGGACGTAATCGAGCAGCACGAGCTTGTTGACGTGCCTCTTCTTGGAGATGGGGGTGATGAGCGACGGCAGCGAGTGCTGGCACATGAAGGAGTACACACACACCCCAAAGAGGTTGCGGATGCCCGACAGCTGCGCCACGGACGGGTGGCCCTCTGCTTGGCCTCGGCTGATGCGGATGAGCGCCAGGATGATCATGAGGATGAACGCTGCGGAGGGAGAACGGGCCACGTCAAGCTCAGTCCACGCTCCCACGACCCTCCTGCCATCGGCCTCGGCACCAGAGCGTTCCCAGCCCCGGGGGGCTGCACGGCACAGGCAGGAGCCACAGGAATCATCCACGACTCGCCCCCATTGCCAGCACCCGCTGTCCAAAGCCATCCCCTTCCTGCCGAGGGTCTCGGGCCACCCGGGCCTCTGCCACGCACCTTGGCTAATTGTCACTGTCCATAAGTGACCCACAGGGACCCTTTCCAAAGGAGGAGACGATCCAACCGGCTGCAGAGAGTTAAGCCTGGTAACACTCCCGTACGCTTTGTGGCCAGAGGAATATTTTCCAAGCCCTCACCTATACATACAGGCAGATGTAAGGGGACAGCTACTACAGAGCGTTCCTGTCCCTGTGACCTGTCAAGCACAACGGCACAAGAACTAGCCAGCCATTTCCAAGGAAAGAAGAACAGGCTGTCTGTAGTTAATCCCAGGTGGAGAAGCCAGTCTGGAAGGGACTCGAACGGCTGCTATTAAAATTCATCACTTCTAGGCATGAAGTCTGCTTGTCTACCCTTTACTTATGTCAGGGAAAAGCCTCATAACATTTTACCAGCTTGTCACAAAAAGCTACTTGCTATGGACAAAAGGAAATGGAAAGATGGGGCTAATACCTTTATTTCCTCTGCTGCTGGAAATTTGACCAGAAGTAGCTATTGCTGGACTGTTATCCCTAGCATGACACAAACAGCAGAAACCTAATTCTGGCACCCCAGGAATCCCATCAGCCTGGGAAAGCCGCTCACCGGCGGCCGGAGCGGCCCTGGAGCCG